AACATCAGATCAAATACACATCTTAGACCTTAAATGTGAAGGAATCAATTCACCGACTTTCCCTCAGCCCTCTTAATTGGAAATGACCCCAGGAAAACCAAACTGCACCACCTTCCTGAGGAGCTGGTGTTGTACTGAAGAAACACAGGCACCCGACTTCTGTTCCCAGGAGCACCACACCTCCTAATGGGGCCAGGCTCTGGCTAAAGAGAAAGTTGTGCAAGGTATTCAGAACCACGCTATTGGACTTTATGCAGAAAGCTTGTAAGATCTCCTACTGCACGTAGCAAAACAAACAAAAGTTTTAGACATCGCAAATGACTAAAAATTGAATGTCACATTTAAAAAGAAACACTGTGATTAACTTTCAGATACTACAGATTTCAACTTACACGTTTCGAAAGCAGAACTGTACGACATGGAACTTTACAGATCAAGCATTCATCCCTTTTACCTGTAACAGAAAGCATATTTTATTCTATTAGAGTGAGTAGTGCTTTTAAATACGTATAAATGCAGACCTTCTTGCAAAAGTACACAGAATTACAGCACTTGCAGTGGACATGCCTGTGGGCGTGCACATAGCTGAGAAGACTTACATAAGCAACAATCTTTTTTTTCTTGTTTTGCAAATATGCTCCAAGATGGTGGCCATAAAGATCAACAACACAAACTTAGATCAGGCCCAGATATTTCTTACAATCAGGTTCTATAGGAAAAACTTAACTTAAAATTTTAAACTCTACAAAATGGAAAGCTCCTCCCAGCCACCTGGGGGCTACAGTGTTCTGCTCTGCCCCGCGGCCTCACCCCTGCGGCAGCTGGGACAGCTCGCCTGGCGTCGGAGCATTTACTGAGCTCCTGAGACAGGCCAGGCAGTGCCGGGGCTGAGCACGGAGGTGTCACGTCCCCCGGGCCGCCCCCACCCCTCGCTCGGCCTCCTCCCTGTGGGGTGCCCGCCTCCACAGGCTCCTCCCCCACCGGCTGGCCCCGCACCCCCAGGGCTCCCCCCACTCCGTCCCCCTCGCTTCCAGCTCCTGGTTCGGCCCTGCCTGGTCCTCACAGCCTCTGATCTTGGCTTCTCCACTAGGCAGCTTGGAGGCCAGCCGTCGGTCCACAACCACCGCCACGGGTCCTTCCAGGCAGCACAGCAGCCCAAAGCCGGGGCTGCCTCCCCGCCCCCCCAGTTCAACACGGCTGAGAAGCAGGATTCCAACACTGCGGAATCTGCAGCATTGCTGGGCACCCCTCTGCTTTTCTTGGTCATTTTCCCCCAGTTCCCTGCAGGAGGTACTCAAACAAGCCCCCATGTCGTCTACTGAGGAAAAGGCCCGTCATACGCACCTCTCTCCGCCTGCACCACTCGGCCTCCTTCCTCTGTCTTAGGCCGACAGCCCCCCAGGCCAGGCCTAACCCTCCACCCTGTGCTCACCTCCTCTCCTTCCCACAGCCCTGAGGGCTCCCGTCCTGGCTCAGACGCCCTCCCACTAAGCTCCGCCCCTAGCCCTCCCTGGTACTTCCCAGCCCCGAGCCAGCCTGTCCCCACCATCCCCATAGAATCACGCAGGTCACCCAGCCACTAAGGCCAGGGCCACATGCGGATGTGCTGGCTGACTGTGCTGGGATGCCTGGTTTGACGTTTCTGCTTTCTCTTCTCCTCACAGCCTCCTCCTGTCTCCACCCACCTTCTTTAGGAAATGCTTTTCCCCAGGTGAGAACAGGCTCCTCCATCCCCTGCCTTCAGCCCTCCCGTCACCGCAGCATCTCCACTCTCTTCTCTGCACTAACCTCTCCCTGCTGCGCTCCAGCTGCCCGGACTCCCAGACCCTCGCGTGTCCTCACAGCCCCTCGGTCTCTCCCTGCATGGCTCTCCTTGGAACCTCCGTGTCCAAAGGTAAGGTCCTGGGCCTCACCCCAAACCCGCTGTCTCCCCGCAGCGTCCTGGATGGCCACGGGAACCCCACTGCCAACCCCGGCGAGCTCCACACGCTGGAAACCGAGATGCCTTTCTGCACCCAGGTCTGCCCAACCTGCCCGCTGCTTCTGTCCAGCCCCGTGGGCGGCTGTCCTGCTCTGACACCTCTCCCCTGTGCAGGGTGCCGCTTCTTCCCCAAGTCCTGCCGCCCGCCAGGTTCCACTTCCCCCGGCCACGCAGACCGAGACTCAGCCAGCCCACCCCTGGGCACGCGACGGTGCTCACCCCCAGACCCCGCATGAACATGCCTGCAGCACCACCGGTGACAGCCAAAGCCTGGAAGAGCCCGAGGGTCAGCCGCGAGCTGGGAAATACACCAGGACACGGCATCGGTCCCGAGCAGCAGGCAAGGGGCACCAGGGGCAAGTGTGCACCGAGGATCCCGCAGCGAGGGGCCCAGGCAGGGGCCACCCGGGGCGGGCGTGTGTGTGGGGAGCCTGCTGCCCGCTGGACCACCCGCTCACCGGCGTTAAACAGTCCAAGGCGATGGACACCAACGTGGATCAGGACAGTGGTTTCCCTTGAGGAGGCCTGGGGTGTGTGTGTGTGAGATGTTCTGATTCTTAATCTGTGACCTGGTTTCACAGGTAGGTCACTTTATGAGAATTCACTGTGTTTCCATTTAGGCTTTTTTCCTGTATAAACTCTATACGTCAATAAAAACATTTCACAAGAAAAAAAGTACACGTCGATCACGTCACTGCCCGCTTCCCCCCGGGGGGGGGGGCCGGGGCCTCCCTCGCAGTCCTCTCCCGCCTCAGGCCTCCTCCTTCCTCCCACCCCCTCTGCCGGGGACACTTCTGCATCACCACCCCCCCCCCCACCCCCCGCTTCTGGCTGCGCTTGTCCTTACAGGGACCAGCCTGAGGTTGGACCCCACGTGGCAGGCGGGCCAGTGCCGGAACTGAGACACTCGGCCGGGGTGCTGCCCGCCCTCCCTGTGGCCCCTACAGGCCCTGCCCCCCCCCAGCCCGCAGGCAAGCGCCCAAGAGTCGCCAACCGGAGCCTCTCGGCCTGTGCCCCGCCACCCCCGCACGCCCCGCCCTCCCCCAAGGCCCCCTGCTCCGAAGATCCTCTCCCCACCCTCCAGGCCCGCTGAGGGCCCCTCCCCCGGAAGCCCCTCCGCCCCCCCCCCACCAGCCCAGGGGTCCAGGTGTGGGCCTGGCCCGAGGGCCCTCAAAGCCCTGACCCCACCCTGACCTTTGCGCAAGCAGACATCGCAGTACACGTGGCCGCAGTTAGTCAGGCTGAAGCACGCCGTCCCCTGGGGTGGCTGGAAACAGCGATTACAGAACACCCAGCCGGCCATGCTTCCCAGCGATTTCCGCTGCCGCCAATGCTGCTGCCCAACCGAAGCCCTCCTGAGACCCACGCGAGACCTGGACGCGGGATCTGGGCGTGGCCCGAGGCCTGCAATTCCACGCCTGCGCACCGCCAAAACTCCTGTGTTGGAAGGTACCAACCCGGGAAGAGAGGGAGGTTAGAATTAGACTTTCCTCTCTGAGGGTTGTTTTGGCTGGACGTCGGGGAGGAGGAACATACAGGCGAGGACCTGGCCTCACTCTTTCCAACGCTGCAACCTCCAGCGATTCTCCTGAGGACAGCGCGTTATAGTCCAGGACCTATGTGGGCCCCCAGGCGGCGCCGAGGTGGGTGCGCCGGGACGCCGGCGCAGGCGCAGAGCTGTGGGAGGCCGCTGCACCTCACAGACCGACAGCGGGCCGCCAGAGTCAGGTGAGGCCCACGCCTGAGGGCTGGGTGGAAGTAATCACATGGAGGCGGGATGTGCATCGACCTTGAGACACGGTGAGCTGAGCCGACCGGCTAGGTGGACCAGGTGGCCCCTCGTGCCCTCCATTTTGCAGGGCGTGGGGAGGTCAGGGGGAGGGCCCCTCGGTGCCCGCCGTACTGGGAGTGGGAGGCGTAGGGTCCTTGGGGCCCCGGAGGATGAGGGCCGGGAGACAGGAGGGACCAGAGGAACAGCAAGGGGGTCTGGGCCGTCGGAGGTAGGGGATGGGAAACTCTGGGGCCGGGGCATTAGGAGACCTGGTAGCCCAGGACGAATGTCAGGATCACGATGGGGTGTGAGTGGGGCCCGGGGCCCACTGTCTGGACCCCATGGTCGAGGTGGGCCGGGTCGGGCCAGGCGCCGTTGCTTGCCTCTAACACGCACATGTGAAAAGGCTTGCCCTGGGGGAGGTTATTTCGCTTTTAAAAACGGTGGATAGGGGAGTTGGTGGAAGGGACTCTCTGTACTGTTTTTTGTAACTTCTAGTGAGCTTACGCTTATTTTAAAATTTAGAGGAAATAAATGGAAGTTGCTTTCCCTAGAATTACACTCCTCGCGGGATGCCCCATCCTCTCCGAAGAGCAGTTTCCATCCGCCTATGGAGGTGGATCAGAGTGGGACCCACTGAGAAAACTTGGTTCAGAGAAAGTCTCTGGGCCATTCACTTGTGTGGAGAAAAGTGGCCATCTTTCAGGGAAATAGAGAAATGCAGAGATTCAGGACCACTCTAAGTGGAACGCCGTGGGGAAACGAGGTACTCCCTCTGTCCCGTGCTGTAGCCATGAACCTTGTGTGGCCATTGGCCTCTGAAATGTGACTGGTCCAAATTGAGATGTGCTTTGATTGCAAAATACACCTGGGTTTCTAAGACTTCCTATCAAGAAAGGAATGTAAACTACCTCATTAATAATTATGTATTGATTACATGTTAATATGGTAATATATTTGATCTAGTGGGTTAAATATAGGTCACTAGGGTTAATTTTACTCTTTAAAAAAGACTTTTTTAATGTGGCAACCAGAAAACTTAAAATTTACATATATAGCTCACATTTATTTCCGTTGGACAGTGCTGACCTATACCAATTTTAAAATAAGGCCTGGATCATGTATTTATTTTATCAAACTCAGAAGCCACATTGTTAAAGTGACATTTTATCAGTGTTACAATGATATAACATCAATTCCAACCTCTGATGTCTTTGAAATCAGAAAAGTTATGCACACTTATGAATATATTTTGATATTAACTCAAACATGCAAGGTAGAAGGTAGTTATTTGCCTTTATTAATATTTTTAAACAAGTTTCTTAGCTATGAAGAAGTCTTTAAGGTACTTTATTTGGAAAATTCCAACTGAGATAAAGATTAGTGTTTGTGCAAAGGCCCACCATAAAACATTGCTGTTTGTATCTTCACTGGTCATTCGAAATTCTTCTTCACGGTCCTACGCAGAAGAGAAATAGGCAGGTTAAGTTTCTTAAGGTACTTCCTGCATGAATTTGAGGGGAAGGTACTGTATGCATTCAAGGTACTTAATGTCACCCAGGTAATCTCTTATGCCAAAGTGCAGTATCATTTTCTAAGCCAAGGGGTGTTGTTAGTCAAAGACAAGGAAGAAGAGTCAACCTTATAAAACACACTTTTGTGTTTTGGCGTAAAGTGTCAGGTATTTGATCTATTACTTTATATGTTTTATTTGTTACCATCAAACAAAGTGAACATTACCTAATTGACAGATGTTCATCATTCAGGTTCTTACTTTACTTTAAGCTGGGCACTGTGCTCATTTTATTTTCCAGATAAAGAAACAGAAGCTCAGAGACGACAGAAGGTTAGTGAGTGGGGGGGCAGATTTGAGCCCACGTCTGACCAGGGTCCACTGAGCACAGTGACCCAGGAAACGCATAATGTCACAAGAACAAAATGGTGATTTAGAAAGTGGGCACACTGAGACGCTGCGGCCATGTGGGGTGTGTTTGGAAACGCTTATTTATTCATTCTGTGAGCTCACACCCCAAGGCGAGTGAGCCACGGTCCCCTTCCTAGAGGAGCTCATGGTCCAGCGAACGGTGAACGAGCGCTGTCCCCGCATCCCCTGCATGTCCACGCAGTCCTAGCTCAGAGGAGGCCCGGGGAGCCGGCAGTTTACTCTTTCCTTGGTTCGCGGGCTTCGTGGAGAATTACGTACTGGGCAGGAAGAGGGAGCATAAGCTGAATAGGCAGACTGACCCTTTGATAGTTTTGTTCTTTGACTATTTGCTCCATTTGCTCAATTAGATGTTCAAGCTTGAAGCTAACTTCATTAACTTTGTCCTTTGCTTGAGCAATGGCTGCATCAAGGTCATGTTCTCCAACTCGAATATCTAAGTGGATCCGCTGTGCAAACAGTAAAAAGGAAGAAACATGTTTTTAACGTGGCTCACTCTTTTTCTTTGCTTTTTCCCTCCTTGTGTCCTCCCATTCCTTCCTTTTTCTCCACTCTTCCTTTTTGAGAGCAAACACTACTTCATTCTCGAGCTCTCTATTTTTCTTCACCGCCACTCTATTCCCTGTTATACCCAGTAGTCTTTCTTTGTAATAATAATGCATTAAACAGTACCTGCTGACCTGAAAGTGTACTTATATTAACAATAGACTGTTAGGCAAGAGCCTTTGCCCCTGAGAGAATTTGATTTACTGAGGAGAATGTTCTTTACATATAACTAAATTTCTGATGCTAAAGTACAGATTCTTTTCATCTGTTCTCAGCACATTTAGAAAATAGCCAATCACCATCTACCATGTAAGAGTTTTATTTATTGGAATTCCATTATTAATTCACCCTTCAGCCTTCAATTGTTTTCAAGCCTGAATAATCACAGTTCTCTTAAGCTTCCCTCCCAGTTCTCATTTTTCAAGCCCTTTAATCAACTCCGTGGCTCTCCTTTGAACCCCTTCCAAGCTCTCCAGCTCCCTCTTTGGTTGCTGTGCTGAGGTCTGGGTATAATGGTCTGCATATCATTGTCGCGCCTGAATAGTGCTGACGCTGCTCATCACCAAGTGCTCGGAGGCACGTACTTACCAGCTTACTCCCTCCAAATGACACGAGCCTCGTAGAATTAGACTCTAAGCAAATGATGTGTTCGCCAGGTGAATGTGAAGTGAAGTAGAATGTTCCTTGTGGGCCATATAACTTTGACAGTAATACCTAGGATTGAGGAGTTCCATAGTTTAAGTTTATTATTCTCTACTTTCCATTAAAAAAAATCATCCCCATGTAATCTAGTGAAAATTGTGCAATTCCTAAAGAAGAAATCAAGTAGCCAATAACATGAAAAATACTCAGTCTTGCTGGTAATCAAAAAAATACAGACCACAGTAAGATATTCCTTGTTGGTTTTCAGATTGGCAAATACTTAAAAGTACCTGGGGTGGGGACAGTATGGAGAAATACTATCTCTAGACACTGTTCTGGGAATGTAAGTTGAACACCCGTTTCAGAGAGTGCTTTGGCCAGGTGTATAACACCATTCACCCAGCAGCGCTACATATAGAAATTTATCCTATGGGAATGCCCAAATGGACAGTTATATGTAAAAGGATATTCAGTGTGATGTTATTTATTTAAAAAATTGTGTTTTGAAATAACTAATACCTTTGAGTGTGGATTGATTAAATTTAGGCAAAGCCAAATGAAGAGGTGCTAGGTAGCAGTAAAAGAGATATTATACCCATATCTATACGAAAGGTGTCCACAATATTCAGGGATAGTCTGTATAGAATCCTATTTTTGTAAAAAGTATCGTTTGTAAAACTACACGTGCTTAGAAGAAGATTCTAAAGAATATATACCAAGTTATTAGGCAGTTATATTTGTTGGGGAACTTTGACTTTTCTGCTTAGTACATTTCTGTATTGTCTGGCATTTTAAAAACAGGTATAGGACTTCAAGTCTGGCATATAAGGAGCTTGGAAGTTGTCCCTCTGTCTTAAAAAGTAAAAGCTGCATAGAAAGAAAATCAGTTCTTAGATCTGTCAAGAGAATTGAGGTCACAGGGTAAACTGCTGCCCCCAAAATGGGAGAGGCGAATGCAAAGAGTCCCAGCTTAGCCTGAGCACAAACCCCTGTGGGAACCAGTACGGGTTCCTTTTACCCAGCACATCACGTCCAACTTTCAACAACAACAGAAAAATAATAAGACATACTCAAAGGCAAAAACCACAGTTTGAAGAGACAAAACAAGCCTCAAAACCAGATTCAGATATGGCAGGGATATTGGAACGATCATATAAGGAATTTAGAAAACCTATGATTAATAGTCTGTGGTCTCTAATGGTAAAAGTAGACAACATGCAAGAACAAATGGGTAGTGTGAGGAGAAAGATCAGAATTCTGTGAAAGAATAAAAAGAAATGCCAGAGATCAGAAACACTGTAGCGGAAATAAAGAGTGCCTCTGATAGACTCCTTAGCACACTGGACAGGACTGAGGAGAGACTCTCTGAGCTTGAGGATATGGCAACAGAAACTTTCAAAACTACAAAGCAAAAACAGACTGGGGGAAAAAAGGAACAATATCCAAGGACTACAGGACAACTATTAAAGGTGTAACATACACATAACGGGAATACCAGAAGGAGAAGAAAGAGAAAGCAACAGAAGAAATATTTAAATAAAGACCGAGAATTTCAGATTAGTGTCAGACACCAAGCCACAGAGCTGGGAAGCCCAGAGAACACCAAGCAGGATAAATGCCAATAAAACTACACCTAGGCATATCATATTAAAACTGCAAATATCAAAGATAGAGAGGAAATCTAGAAAGAAGCCTTATTTATAGAGGAGCAAAGCTAAGAATTACACCCGACTTCTCCTCAGAAACCATGCAAGCAGGGAGAGAGTAAACATTTAATGTGTTGAGAGAAAAAAACTCACCAACCTAGAATTCTGTATCCTGTAGAATTCTCCTTCAAAAGTAAAAGAGAAAGATTTTCTCAAACAAAAGTTGAGGGAATTTGTCCCTCATAGACCTGTCTTACAAGGAATGTTAAAAGTTATTCAGAGAGAAGGATAATGATATTGGTCAGAAACTCGGAGCTACGTGAAGATTGGAAAGCATTAGAGAAGGAATCAGTGAAGGTAAAATTAAAACTTTTATTTTTCTTATTAACTGAGTTAATAGATACGTCTTTCAAAATAATAGCAATGTATTTGATGATTATAGTTTATATATAAATGAAATTAGCAACAGCAAAGATGCAAGGGATGGGAGATAAGAATTAGCATTACTTTGTTATTATAAAGTACTTGTACTACCTGTGAAGTGATATGGTGATATTCAAAAGTGGGCTTGGAGTAGTTGTAAATGTATATTGCAAACTCTAGGGCAACCACCGACAAAAAGTTAAAAGAAGTATAATTGATAACTATGAAAGGAGATAAAATGGAATCGTAAAATAATTAAAACCACAAGAGACAGAAAAAGAGTGGAAAACAAAAATAGGAACAAATAACAAGGATGACAACTAGAAAACTAATAAATATGATGAATATTAACTCAGCTGTATCAACAGTCACTTTGAATGTCAGTGGTCTGAATGCATCAATTAAAACAGATTGTCAGAGTGGATCCAAAAAAAAAAACAAAACCCCGACTATGTATTGTCTACAAGAACCCCTCTTTAAATATAAAGACACATATATATTAAAAGTTAAGGGATGGAGGGACTTTCCTTGTGGTCCAGTGGTTAAGACTTTGCCTTCCAATGTGGGAGGTGCGGGTTGGATCCCTTGGTTGGGGAACTAAGATCTCACATCATGGCCAAAAATCCAAAACATAAGCAATATTGTAACAGATTTAATAAAGACTAAAAATGGTCTACATCAAAAAAATCTTTAATTAAAAAAAAAAGGGACGGAGAAAGATGTATATGTCAACTTTCAGCTAACCTTAATCAAAAGAAAGCTGGAATAGTTATATTAACTTCAGACAGAGTAGACTTCAAAACAAGGAAAATTATCACGGATAATTACATAATGGACCATAGTAATAAATAGGTCATTTCTCCAAGAAGACAAACCTTAATGTGTATGCATCTAACACCAGAGTGTCAAAATACATGAAGCAAAAACTGATAGAACTGCAAGGATAAATACAAGAATTTAGTATTATAGTCAGAGACTTGGGTACTCCTCTATCAGAAGTGGGCAGATCCAGCAGCAGATCAGTAAGGACACAGTTGGACTCAATGGCACCATCAACCAACTGGATATAATCAACATCTGTAGACTACTTCATCCAACAAAGCAGAATACACGTTCTTTTTAAGCTCACATGGAACACTCACCAAGATAGACCACATTCTGGGCCATAAAACACACCTTAACACATTTAAAATAATAGAAACCATACAATGTATGCTCTTAGACCATAATGGAATTAAAGTAGAAATCAATAACAAAAAGATAGCTGGAAAGTCCCCAAATATTTAGAGATTAAACAGCATACCTCTAAATAACACATGAGTCAAGAAAGAAATCTCAAGAGAAACTAACAGTATTTTGAATTGGAAGAGAATTCTGGGAAGATGGTGGAATAGGAGGCACCAGGAATCTGTCTCTAGGCAACAATTACACTGGAAGAATCTGTCTGATGGAACTGTTTTGGAACTCTGGAGTCTATTGAAGGCTTGCAACTTCCAGGGAAAGACTTGGATGGTAAATTGTGGTTAATTTTGGTCAATATCAGCTCTTAGAACAGTGGCAGCTGCCTACCTCCCACCCCCACCCCCTGCCAGCCACATGGCAGGCAGCTGCGCAGGTGCTCCTGGAGCAGCTCCCATGCATCTTTTAGAAGCCAGGGTAGGCAAAAAGGACCCTGTCCTCCAAATGTCAGGGTTTTTTGTTTTTGTTTTTGTTTTTGCGGTGCGCGGGCCTCTCACCGCTGCGGCCTCTCCCATTGCAGAGCACAGGCTCCGGACGCGCAGGCTCAGCGGCCATGGCTCATGGGCCCAGCCACTCCACGGCATGTGGGATCTTCCCGGACCGGGGCACGAACCCGCGTCCCCTGCATCGGCAGGCGGACTCTCAACCACTGCGCCACCAGGGAAGCCCTGTCAGGGGTTTTTGATGTCATCATATAGAAGGGATTCTCAATAAGATTAACAAGATTTCTCATCAGAAACTTCGGAGACCAGAGGCAGTGGGCGGATACATTCAAAGTGCTTAAAAAACCCCAAACAACCAGAAAAGGCCAACAAGCACATGAAAAGATGCTCAACTTCACTGATCATTAGGGAAATGCAAATCAAAACTACAGTGCGGCACTACCTCACACACATTAGAATAGCTGCTATACAACAAACAAAAAACGTACTGGCAAGGATGTGGAAAAATTTCAACCCTTGTGCATTGTTGGTGGGAATGTAAAATGGTGCAGCTGCTGTGGAAAACATTATGGTGGCTCCTCAAAAATATAAAATAGAATTATCATATGATCCAGTAATTCCACTTCTGGGTATATACCCCAAAGAATCCAAAGCAGGGTATCAGGATATCTGTACCCCCATGTTCATGGCAGCAGTGTTCACAATAGCTAAGACGTGGAAGCAACACAATGTCCACTGACAGGTGGATGAAGAAGCAACATGTGGTACATACATAACAGTGGCATATGATTCAGCCTTAAAAAGGAAGCAGATTCTGACACGTGCTGCAGCATGGATGAACGTTGTGGAAATTATGCTTACTGAAGTAAACCAATCACAAAGAGACAAACACTGTATGACTCAACTTATACGAGGTATTTAGTCATAGGGGAGTTATTGTTTAACGAGTATAGAGTTTCAGTTTTACAAGATTTAAAGAGTTATGAGGATGATGATTATACAACATTAAGAATATATTTAATACCACTGAATTGTGCACTTAGTAATGGTTAAGATGATGAATTTCATGTGTACTTTACCACAATTTAAAAATCTCAAAAAATATTTTGAACTGAATTAAAATGAAAATACAACTTAATCAAAACTTGGGGGATACAGTGAGAGAAGCATTTACAGAGAAATTTATAACATTGAACGCATATATTAAAAAGAAAGAAAGGTCTAAAATTAATCATCTAAGCCTAGGAAGCTAGAACAAGAAGAGCAACTAAATCCAAAATCAGCATAAGAAGAGAAATAAGATCTGTGCTGATAAAGCTAA